ATCAACAAAAATAAATAAAGATATACATAATATCAACATTAATTGTGTTATGTTTATTTTTACATCACATACACTTGCAAGGGCTTAGATGGAACTTTCTTTCAAATGATCTTATTTGGCAGGTTGAGAGGTTTCCAAAAGTCAATGCCCTTCCTAACTTCACACTGTAGCAAGCCTCAAACCTATTTTATTAGAAGACCCTATTGGTTGCTATTCATCTGCATTATCACATTACTGCAATGGCCCCCAAATGATAACAGCAATACTAATGACAATTGCTCAAAATGACCTCTATTCATCATAAACATTACAATTGCTTCAAAAAATAAATTACCCCACTGGTCCATGGCATTTATTGCTACGAAGATAGAGAAGAGAAGGCGTTGATAGTTCTTGGCACAAATCGAAATTCCAATTGCGTATGAGACGGTAGTACCTGAAAATTCATTAAAATTTATAAAACCATCATATCAATGCATACATTAAAATGCAAATCATTATAAAAACAATTAACCAAGATAAATATCAAAATCATATATTACCCATTCAAGCATCCTACAAAAGACTCAAGCTGCTCTATCGTCTGTAGTTTGAAATAACACGGGACACCTGTTTCTCTGGATAGTTCAACAGTAAGGTCCTGAAACCTCGTCGACACAAACACAAGCTCATCCAAGCGGCAAAGTTGTATCCATGCCTTAAAAATGGTAATATTAGATTGGTTAACAGCTTTTCATTCTATGAGAATTTTATATTAAATAATGATTATCAATATATACATTCAACTGATAACTAAATTTTTACAACCCTCTCTAATATAACATACTAAGATACAAAAACATCATGCAGAAAGCTAACTTAGAAAACTGCATTACAAATGTCTTCATCTACATCAAATAATAATCAAGTTGCAACAAATTTCATACCCCTTTCCTCTGAGAAGCATATGTATAGCGTAGACCAGGGTATTCAGAATGGAAAGGATCTATGACCAGTCTGATGTTGTAATCTTTTCCAGCCTCATCCATCAAGAGCACATATTCTTCAGTGCCATAACTGCACCGTTTTTCTTCAACCTGACGTGGAAGGAAGAGGAAACTTTTGGCAAACATTCAGAAAAAGAAAAATACTTTGATTCCTGTTGAATTTCTACTCAAAGTCAATATAAAAATCAATCATTCATATATAACTTCCATCCTGAGTATATGTAAAATATACTATAGTAGAAACTGTCTTTAGGAAGCAAAGTTTAATTAGCTGAACTCTTAAGTTTAAGGAATTACAAGCCTTCCACCTTGTATGTCTTCCAAGCCACAATAAAAGCCTGATTTTTTGTTTTACTATGGCAAATTTTATTTGCTGATATTTCAAGAGTACAGTTTTCTGCAAAAATCAACATTTCACATATCTAATACATACAAGCATTAATGCAACACAAAGCAGGAAAATTTATTACAGTTATTGGCATCGTATAAAAGAAAATGAGAATGAACTACTAAACGTACGATAAATAACCACCATATAAAGAAAATCATACTAGTATCACACAAAACAAAAAAATACTGGATAACATCTTGATATATACATAGTAATAACACAGTCATATACCAGGAGGTAACTCTGTGATATGTAATAGTATGATGCGTGAAGGGGGAAAGTGGAAGACAAAAAGATCAGGGGTTTGACAGGTTAAAATATGCCATACTGTACCACACATTAATTCATACTCAATACAGTCCATTCATAAGAAGAAAAAGGAGAGATGAACACCTGACTCAGAGAGATGAAGGCCTACAAGGGAAATAAGGATATGGGGTGACATTATGGGTGCAGCTGGAGGAATCTTAGCAAATAGCATTAGGTATATAAGAGGACACTACATGATAATTAGGGCAAATAGCAAGGCACACACACTATGCACTTTGCCAATATGGCAAACAGGTCTCTAGGGGTTAATGATTTAATATGAGGTATATAAGACATATAATTAGTGGATTTCTGCTTTGCACCACCATATCTTTTTCTCTGTTGGTTGAAAACTGAAAACCTAAAGGTTCCTTTCAAAAAAAGAAAAGATGCAGAATTTCTGAAAAATGCCAGTACTGTGCAAGTTTTTTGGCTGAACATGAAAAACAGTGGATCCCTTTAAGACAATATAAATTTAAGACAACAGGAATCAAGCAAATTTAACCTGATTTGGCTCACTGTACATGGATGGTTGAGAATCTTGACAAGACACCATTCTTGAGCCTTTCATACAATTGTAATCAATGAGGCTGTATAATGAAATAATGACCATATGAGAATAATACCTAATACATCATTACTAACTGGATTTAATATATAGCAATGCTGATGATGCAGTAGTATTCTTTAATATAATAATCATAGGGACTTTATATGAAAGCAATACAGATAATAGACCTCATATCATTTTATTTAATGAATAATGTGAATCATAATTGTTGGGACTTTATGAGAAAGCAATGCGGATAATAGACCTGGTTTTATTCTTACTACATGATAATGCGGATGATGATGATAAGGACATGACTGCAATTACCACTGTTCATTATAAATCATATTATTTTCAATGTTATTGCTCCTACCATTTCTGTTATCATTATCACTGTTATTATCATCACTGTTAAAACATTATCATCATCACTACCATTTGCTATATTTATATCTTATTAGATCATCATGACTATCAGTGGGTGGGTGCTTCATGAGCAGGGTGATGTGAAGCGATGGTGTGCTAGCCTAGATAGTGTTACGTGCTTGCATGCCTTCTCACTTGCAGCTGCCACCACTGGCTAGCCAAGTCACAAAACGTGAGCAGCTCTGCATAAGCCTCCCCTGCCAATTTATAGCCTCTCCATCATTGAGACTTCTGCAGTGCCTCCTTGTGGTCTCCCATGGAAACTGGGTACCTTGCGGCCCAGGCTAAAATGTGGGGGATCTCGGAGCAGCAGGAGGCCCCAGAGGTACAGGTAATGGCCCACCAGTGTGTGGACAAGTCCTGGCCCTGTATCAACTCCTGCCCCTAAGACCCCTGGGGTTAATGGGAGGCGGGCCTTGCCAGTCCTCCTCCCACCCAGTCGCCAGTCCAATATATAAATGGAAATGGTGAGAGAGGAAATGCCCCTCCCACCCAGCAAGAGAGGCTGGATGTGGACCCCATTGGGAGGGCGACTGCTGGGGCGAAGGATGGGAACGGGAACTACTCATCCTGCCTGCCTTCTAGCATCCGCCTATCCAGAATGAGGCGTGGGGGGAAAGCCCTAGGGAACCCCACAGGTGGATGATGGGTCCTGCAGTCTGCCGCCCCCTTTTATAAGGGGCAGTGTGAGTGGGGGTGGCAGAGGTGACATCCACCCAGTGTAACTGCCCAAAGCTAAACCTCAGGCAAGAAGCCAGGGTGGGGGCTTTTTGCACCACCTATTGAGACATCAAAGGCCAGAGCAATCCAGATTCACTCCTGGGAAGTCCACAATAGACCGTATCCTTGCGCTTTGAATCACTGTATAGCACCGTCATGAGTTCGGGCGTGGGCTGCTTGCAGCTTACATTGACCTCAAAAAGACATTTGATACAGTGCATCGGGAATCACTCTGGGAGATCCTGAGACTGTGAGGAATTCCAACAAGGATTATTGGACTAATAGGAAGCCTGCATACTAGTATTGAAAATGCTGTAAAGTGTGGGAGGGGGTTGTTGAGGTTCTTTCCTCTTAGTTCAGGAGTGAGGCAAGGCTGTGTCCTTGCGCCAACACTTTTCAACACTTGTATGGACTGGATACTGGGCAGAGCTACTGTTCAAAGTCATTGTGAAGCAACTCTGGGCAATATCAAGGTTACTGACCTTGACATTGCTGATGATGTTGCTATTCTATCTGATTCTTTGGAAACCTTAGTGGTGGTTCTGGATGCATTTAGTAATGAAGCAAAGCCCTTGGGTCTACAGGTCTCCTGGACCAAGACCAAGATCCAGGACTTTGGGGACTTGCTAGGAGAACCTGCTTGGTTAGTATGTGCTTGCGGAGAGGACTTTGAAGTCACAGAGAGCTTTACATACCTTGGTAGTGTAGTTCATAACTCTGATCTGTCAGACCAAGAAGTCAGTAGACAGATTGGCCTGGCAGCAGGGGTCATGAACTCTTTCTACAAGAATATTTTGGAGATGCCGGTACCTGTGCAGAAGGAACAAGCAACGCATTTTCAAGGCCCTGAAAATGTCAGTTTTGCTCTACTATAGTGAAACCTGGACATCATCTTGTGCCTTGGAGTCACATCTTGATGCCTTTTGTAATAAGTCCTTGCGCCGGATCATGGGGTACTGTTGGCGGGACCATGTGTCCAACTAACGGTTGCATCGTGAGACTGGCACAGGACCTGTTATTTGCACAATCCGTGATCGCCAACTCAGGCTATAAAGCCACCTAGCTTACTTTCTTCAGTATGATCCTACCACCAGGTTGTCTCTGTTTAAGACAGCCTTGGATAAAGGAGGCCTATGGGACAACCTAGGAAGTTGTGAGTTGGGCAGATTGATCAAACCTGTCATGAAGAGCTCGAGATAGGCCGAGTCTCTTTCTGGCAGCTTGCCATGAGGGACCCCCATAGGTAGAAACAAAGGGTAGATGTGGCTATGAGCCCCTGTCAGCGTTAGCTTCTTGATGATGATGATGATCAGCATAATAATCACCATTATCATTATCATCATTATCATAACACCCACTTGAGACTTCTGAAATCATCTGAGGCTATAACTTAAAAGTTGAAAAAAAGTTTCAAAACAAAATGATTTCTGATGTTATTACCCATGCAAGACTTTGAGGACATGCAACACAATCTGGGATCTTACCTTTGAAAGGTATCGTTCATGCACAAAAGCAGCGTCTTTATCTCTCCAGGTGTCAAAATAATGGACCACATTTTTCTTTACATTGAGTCTATTGGCAAATCCATTCAACTCTTTTGGCATAAAGCTTTTGATGT